GTCTCTTCCTGGGGTGAAGTGAGGTGAAGACGGTGAGCCAGACTAAAGAGGAATATTTAAAGACTTGATTCATTTCAAAACTGCCACACAGACTTCACGGATACACACCTAAGCTCCAGCGACAGAGGACAGAGTTGAAGAGTTGGAGCGTCATCATTGGCGACAATGGTAAAAAATTAGTTTAGAAATTAGTCTGCGTGCGTGCGTGTCATGTAGTCCACGCCCAGACTGTGTATGGAATTTACCTGACATTATACCAACTTATTATACTCTGATGTCCAGAAATGATTTGTCACCTAGGTTTGAATGTGATTGATGTGATGTGCATGTTTAACGTTACTTCCATATTGTTACTTGAAATTCAAATCTCTGTTAACTCTGACATCAAATGAAGGTTTACGAGCCATTAAAGTCTCCAAATTCACGCTTGAGATCAATCGACAGATAAATAAATCAGGCAGTAAATATCAGCGTGTAAAAGTAGGTTATCTTCAGTCAACATTATTACCGTGTAAGGAAAACCATTTAACAGTGTATCCACATTTTGTTGTCTCAGCAGAGGGCTCCAAAGTCCAAATAAAGAATTTGACCTTTAAATTTAATTACGGGCACGGAAAGTGATTTATGGTCATTATTAAAACTTTACTCACTAAATAAGAGCGTCTTGTGAGGGATTTATGGGCTGCAGTCTGGTCAGTGAAAGTCACCAGTTCTTTATATTTCTGAGGCTTGAAAACACTGAAGTAAAATTCATATTCCTTTTTTGTAATTTTCCTGAACGTTTAAAAACACCCAGAACTGAGATAGTGAAGTTACAAAGCTCTTTAATAAAGTTGAATATGGTGGTTTTAAAGACCTGCGGATGTAGGGTCTGTATCTTTGAATTTAAGTGAAAAAGGAGAGGGAAATTAAATGAAGGCACTGGTAGTATTTTCCTATCAAAATAGTTTGTTCCTCATGTTGTTCACCTCAGATTTAATCATAAATGGATTGTATAGCTCAATAAAAGGCCCTTTAATGTCACACTTTTTGTTGATTTACTGTGACAAAGTGTGACACATTACATACTACCTAAAATAAATAAATAAATAAATATGATTTTTTTTTACAGCCTCTTGAACAAGACCAGCAAGTTTCACCCTCCCGTCCCGTCTCCAACGTCACACCTCCTCCTGGTGCAAAGCGCGCGCACACACACACACACACACACACACACACACAGAACAAATGTACAAGCAGCACAAATGACTGGACTTCGTACCATGAAAAAACATATTAGTATTATCATCGGTTGTTCACATGAACCTGTAATTAAAAACTAAAAAAAACAAACAAACAAAAAAACATTTTGTTTGAATAAACTCTCAAAAATTATTTTGTGAGTGATTTTGCAGACATTCTGTTTTGAAAATACATTTTCCTCAGTGATAATCCACTTCTAAAATAATCATATAAACTTCTATTTTTAAAATGAGACACTGAATTTGTGTCTGACATGTTTTTGTGTGTCTGTGTCTGTAACAGATGATTCACTGACAGACGAACCTCAGACCAGAGCGGACCTCTTAAAATGTGAGTTTTGTAATCTACGGTAAAACCAAACATTCTCATCACAGTCATGTCACTACTTGTGAATTTGTAATTATTTGATTTAATCCCATTATCTTGTCATCATAAGTTAGTTATCTTCGCATAACTGTGTCATTTTGTTGCAATAAAGAGATAAAGGTTGTGTATTCAAACTGTATTAATAAAGATGATATCATCCCTCAGTAGCATGTTGTTTTATTGGACAAGAGTATTTGTTTATTCCCAGAACAATCTGGTCCCTGCCTCTTCAAAGTGTTTGTGGTTCATTGTTAGATAGTATACTGCAATTAGCATCATGAGAGGGACCAGTGTGGTTGATCACAGTCATTTGCACAAGTAACAAGAGATAATTCATTAAAGGAGTAAAAAGTATTGTTCTGGTGAGAATTTAAAAAAAAACACCAAAACATAACATCCAAAATTACAGTTAACTGTCATGGTGTGATGAAAACCCTCTTGTCACATGCACAGTGCAGCCACCACGTGCTTTGCAACCACTTTGTCTGTGCATCAGGCCCAGTGCACCTGTGTCTTGAAGCGTTTGCCCCAAAGTAACACACAATCCAGCTAATCTATACCTCTCATAGAGCATTCTGTTAACATCAGCAACATGACTGAAATACAGTCCTCTGTGAATTTTCAACTACTGAATAATCTTCTCATTAAAAGAGGAAGAATCTGATGAAATGATCCTGTTTGAAAATTATTATTCTGTTTGAAATTTCTGGAGTTGACGTGATAATTATCTCGCTATCTGAAGAAAACAACTGATTGTTTTCCCGAGTGAACAAGATAATTAGTTCTCAAGATGACCTCAGCTGCTCTTGGCTTCCATAGTGGAGGAGTCAGTTCAGCATTTTGGGAAATGTACTAATTCACTTTCTTGCTGATGATTAGATGAGAAGATTGACACCACTCTGACATCTGTACGGTCAAAATTCATATGATTTTATGTTGAATCTGTGCAAAAACTGAATTGCAAAGACAACATAATATAGTTTACAGGGGTGATGTGTTTGACTATTTCTTGGCCAGGCAAAGCTCATGTTTTTACACCTTATATGGATAAAACCAACAACATATAACAAGGTAATTACTGTAATCAGTAATTACTGATTCCTTCAAACACGCTAATCTGGTGGGGAGATTTAAATGATCCCAGTTGAGTGTGCAGCTGTATTTAAGAGGTAAAATACTATCACACATTGACATGAGGTGTACAATGAAAGATCCATCATCTGTTCACTTCTTCTTCTCCTCTCCAGATTATTGTCACCTCACCCTGAACCCAAACACAGCATACAGAGAGCTGCTTCTGTCTGACGACAACAGAAAGGCAGAGCTCACAGATTTGGTGCAGCCGTATCCTGAACACCCAGACAGGTTCTCTCACCTCTTTCAGGTGCTGTGTAATGAGGGCCTGTCGGGACGCTGTTACTGGGAGGTGGAGTTTGAAGGGTCTGTTGAAGTAGCAGTGGCGTACAAGGATCTCGGCAGATCAGATTATTTTGTCGAGTGTGCGTTTGGCTACAACGACAAGTCCTGGAGTTTAGACTTAAACAATAACGATAAATGTTTCAGACACAATGATGAGGAGACTGCAGTGCCGGAGCCTCAGTCCTCCAGAGTCGGTGTGTACCTGGATTATAAAGCAGGTATTCTTACCTTCTACTGCGTCTGTGACACGACACTGCAGCTGATGCACAGCGTCGAGACCACGTTCACACAGCCGCTCTACCCTGGGCTGTGGTTGGCAGGCAGCGTCCAGCTGTGTGACCTGGAGTAGCAGTTCCTGCCAATATGTGTCCAGTCAGTCTCATGTCAGCAAATGTTTGTCACTGGTGATACTGTACAGCAGTGGGGATGAGTATTATTGTTTTCAGCAGGAGTGTGAATGCCACAAAACATCAAGCCTAATAACAGAATGGAGGGAATCCAATTTTTTTTTTTTAAATATCAGAAAAAAATGATTTGTTAACACTAATTTGACTGTCAGATTCAAATAAATCACAACAATAATTTATCTTACAAGAATCATTTTCATTTATTTTCATTGTTAGCCAAGCTAATGCCTCCAGGAATGGCATTGTCAGTCCACCACTTTGGTCCAGACTGAAATATCTGAACAACTATTGAACGGATTACCATGACACTTTGAGCAGACATTCATGCTCCCCAGAGGATGAGTTCAAGTGACTTTGGAAATCCCCCAACTTTATCTTGCAGCCGTCATCAAGTCAAAATGAAACATTTTCCAATACTTTGGTTCATCAGTCTTACCTTTTGTGTTTAGTGACAATTAGCAAATATTAGCATCTGAACACACTGAAGTAAGATTGTAAACATTTTCTGCTAAACATCCCTGTTAGCACGATGATGTTAACATTTAGCTCAAAGCACCTCACTGTGCTGCTGGCATGAATGTAGACTCATGTATTTAGTGTAGCTCTGTTTCTGCTCGAGAGGTCTCAGATTTGTCATGGTAAACAACAATTCTACGTAACTCAAGTTAAAACTGATTGAGAATTTATCAGATTTTAATTCAGACATTAACAAAATTAAAATGATTACTTTGATTAAAAAAAATACATATCCATATCTGTCTATGTCATACGCATGTTGTGATGCAAAATAAGCAATTTTACTTATGTGAAAATGTGTCAAAATTTCTGGGGCAACAAATATCTGAGTAAATAACAATTGAAACTGTTGCAGAATAGCTGAGTTTCAGTATCCTGCAGCACTGTAGGATAGAAACAGTGGACAGTAATTGGGTTGCAATAACTGTGGTTCAAATCTGCTGTTAAAGTTTTCATTAAATTGAAGTATGATGATAATTGAAAGAAATTAATCCCCCAGACACTGAACTGAACCGAACCATAAATTTTTACATGTAATGAATACATGAGAATAGATGCAGATGACAATTAAGGAGAAACTACCAATGTGCAAGTGTTAAACTTATTTGACACAGTAGTGGAGACTGGGCCACAGCACAAACATGTCATTACTGGTGTTGGTACGCAGACAAGAATTAAAAGTAATTTGTATGGAGTTTATTACGTCATTACAGTTTCAGAACAAATACATCCTTTAATTTATATTTTTGGCACTTATTTTCAGACTAGCAGAAATGATTTTTGACTGAGAAGCGAGAATATACTGATGGCACCAAATATGAAATGTCATGGAACAACAGACTAAAAATCCCTACCAGCTCCAGAGCATCAGTCTGTAGCTGACCCTGACTTTTGACCTCCTCGTGGAGGTGAACTGAAGTAAATTTCCTTTTGTAGACCATCATTACTGAGTCATGTAAATGTAAACAAGCATTACTGGTGTATTGTTGTAACCGTTGTTGGTGTAAAAAAAAAAAAAAAAAAAAAAAAAAAAAAAAATCACACAAGTGCAGATGACAATCAGTCTCTTTCATTTGTGATTTTCTTTTCCTGCAGAAAAAAAACAGTCTGTGTACCTCAGCTGTGGAGCACCAATCACACTGAAGTTTTCTGGTCATGTCACAATGGGGATAAATGTGGTGGTTGGGCCACATGGCTCTGGAACAAAGTTATCCGATCCAGCAGTGTTAGTGGGATATCTCTGATGACTGAAGGCAGGTCTTCATGTTGTAACGGATAGATGACCACACTCAGAGCTGAGCGCTCCACTGAAAATCTAACAGAGAGAGGAAACACAAGAGATTAGTCTCACAATGAAATGTCAGATGGATGGTATGCCCACACGCACACACATTCACTGACTTGTCCAGCAGAGCTTTCTGCAGTGTGCGGCAAGCCACCAAGGTGCCGCCCATGAACATGTGGCACATGATGACATGACAGCATCGCTCCATGAAGGCTTCTGTGGCTGACGGGTCAAAGGTGCCGCTACGTGAGATGAGGCAGAGACGTTGCAGACGAGAGCAGGAGGACAGCGCCTCAAAGAATGACGCGTTGGCATTCAGGTAGGGCTGCTCTAACCTAACAGACAGACACACAATTTCCCACAAACAAACAAGAAAAAACAGGCAGAGACCATTTATTTTTAGCGCTTCATCTTTCATGACAAAAACAACAAAAACAAAAAGACTACCTTAAACTACAAGGTTCAGTCTGAATATATGGTTTGAATGGTAACAGGTTCCCATGATTATTTAAAAGGGGATATAATGATGATCATGATAGATTATATAATTTTAATTATAAAATATAATTAATAAAATAATTATTACAAAATTATCTAAGCATGTAATGGTTTTGAATGTATTTAACATCACATTAACATCCCACCGAGAAAAACTAATACTGAGATTACATTATTAGTTCCAATAATAAATGAATAAATAACAATAAGCATGACTGTAGGATTTATCTGATCGTCAGTGTTTATTATTGCAATAAATGAAAAGTAACAAAGGTATCTTCTAACCTGAGTTCCTGCAGCTGTGTGCACTGTTTCAACGTCTCCAGCAAGGCAGGGGTGTAGTTCATGGTTTTTAGTGATCCCATGTTGGCAATGGACAAAACCTGTAGGTCTCTGCACTGCCTGGCCAGCTGTACCAGCCCTGTTCCCTTTAAGACCCCAGGAAGCCCAGCCAGAGTCAGGCGACGTAATCGAGGCAGAGCCTCAAGTGCGGCCAAATGCGTATCGCCAACTCCTCGAGCCCACGCACACATACCACGAGGCTCCACGCTGGCACGAGTGCAGGGCTCAAGCCGAGGCAGCGTAGAGACAAAACCTGGGCCAATGAGCTCTAGGGTCTCTAAAAAAGAGCAGCCAGCTAGGAGCTGAGCGAGCCCTGAGGTGCTGTCCCTTGACAAAGACTCTGAATCGGGCTTGTAAATCTGGAGCCCCACACGTGGAACTTTCTTTAGCCCCAGGAACAACTGAGAGGGAGACGTGTTGTTTGTGGAGATGTGATGTGTGTTTAAGCCGTCTGACAGAGTGCAGGCAGGCAGAGTGAGAGAGCGCAGGTGTCTGAATTTGACCAAGCTGGCACACAGGTGTGTTTCCCCACCTAGCCCAGGTGAGTGTTCATGATGATAGTGTGTGTGCATCAGGTTTAGGTGTTTAATGTTGAAGCAGCCAACTGCCAACTGGCTTATTCTCCCAGGATCCAGGTGATCTTCCACATTCCTACACTCTGAGTAAAGGACCTGGTTGATCCCGCTGAGGTTCAGGCTAGTCAGCTGTGTAGCATCTCTGAGTCCTCCCTCCAGCAGCGACTGGAACACCTGTGGCCACAACGCCGGGCAGCGGCTGAAGCTGAGGTGCTTCGGACTGTTTCCCTCCAGAGCTCTCTTCAGTGACAAGGAGTCCAGCCAGGACCGAGGCAGCTGCAGGGCCTCCAGGTCACCTCGTTGACCCAAGCTCTGGGCCAGTGAGGGGGCAGCGGGCCAGTGAGCAGGGTTTGGACCAGGAATCGAGATGAGGAAAACTCTGAGACGCTTTGGAACATGAACACTGAACACTGCCAGGTAGAGAAGGAGCAAGGTCTGGTTTACCTATGGACATTAACACACAGATATACTACTAATTACAGACACTAGGCACAGTATTGCAGTATATACTGCAGGTATACTGTATGGGAATATATAACATGTACATGTATACTCACCTCTCCTGGAGCCAGCCTCGCAGTGAACTCCTCCAGCTGCTGGTAATGTGGCACACTGCTTTGACCGACCATTAACTGACAGCAAACACCGACACCCTCTCTGGTCACATCTGGGATGTCAAACTGTAGCATCAGCCTGAAGACAAACGCAAACACAGACACAACACATTCAACGTGGTTCATATTTTTAGCCATGCTAGCAGCAGCGTGGCTCTAGGGATGGCTATGTCAGTCTGTCCAGACTGAAATATCTCAACAACACTGGAGGGATTGCCATGAAATTTTACACAGGCATTCATGGTTCCCAGTGGATGAATCCCACTGACTTTGGTGACGCCCTGATTTTTCATCTGGTGCCACCATGAGGTTAACATTTGTAGTTTATAGTGAAATGTATCCACAACAACAGGATGGACTGCGATGAAATTCATTGACATTCATGCTCCCTTCTGGATGTATTGTAATCACTTTGGTGATCCCTTAACGTTCAACTCTAGCGCCACCATCAGGTCATTTATGACCAAATACCTGCATGAAACTAATGACATTCATATCACCCTAAGCTGCACTTTGCGTTAAGCACTACTACATGGTGCATAAATGCTCCAGTTGGTATCCTGATAAGTAAAAATGGATAAAATTAAATATACTGCACTGCTTGAAATCTCAGTAATCTGACAGATACTTACTTGCGGAGTTGGGCGCAGCACGGCACCACACCATAACTTGGTGTCAGCAGTGTCTGTCTGAGCTCTGACAGGCGGCTCAGTGAACCCACTGCCTCTGAACTAAGCTGAGCAGAGTTGAAGCCCGGTGTCACATCAAAAGCAAGTGATCTGAGTAAAGAGAGGGAGGAGAGGAGACGGGACAGACGAATGGAAGTGAGGCGACAGCCGGTGACATCGAGGTGCGTCACTGCCCTGCAGCGAGCAAGATGATCCATGGTCGAGCCAGACAGCCAGTAGCAACCGTTCAGGCTCAGAGACTGCACGCGATTGGCTAGCTGCTTCAATATCTGCTGAACCATAACATCATCAGCCTGGAGGAGAAACAAGAACAAATGTTTCCATCTGTTAAACTGTTCCACTGAAATGGTTTTTAATAAACAGAGAGTTCCACACACATGCATGAACTTAAAGATTAATAGATAGACTAGATCTTTACTTAAACAATCCTGAAACATGTCACTTTTTGTCGTTTTTTTTCAATAGCTTTACCAGATACTCCTCAGACAGGCTGACGTGTGTGAGCAGGGTCTTATCATGGCACAGTGTCTGTAATTTGTGGCAGACGTTGGCCACATTCAGCAGCAGGTCACACACTGGAACATGGCGGAGGATGCACAGCAGGATCTCATCGGACAGATCTGACATTCCCACCGAGGTAGACGACATTGTGTCCTCATCGCATACCGCCTGAGACGTACAGCAAACAGTGTCAAAGTTGGATGCTTTGAGATCCAGGCAGAAGAATTACCAAGATGCTCAAAATGCTAGAAATCTTTTAATGTCTGGTAGCAATAACTAATTCCCACTATTTTGTTATGTTATTGTTTGTTATTGCTATGTTATATTGTTGTAAATTATAGCTGGGTGATATGATTTTGTCTCATTTATGGTGATAGCTCTCCTTTTAAATCTCTGAATGTATTAGGTAATTGGAGGTAATATACTATAATACACCATGACAGATGGTTTTATCCCAATTGCCCTCTCTTACATTAAACATTGCTCATTTATTAACTATAGCTAAAGCAATGCTAAGTGGAAACATAGTATTTAGTGCAATATTTTGATTAGGAAGTGACAACATGAACTACAACGCCACAGGTTATATTTCAGTCTACAAAAACACTGTCTGCTAGTATCAGACTGTGACTGTGGCACTTCATTTGAGTCTGTGGAAATGCACACAGAGCTTCACCAATTAGTTGACCTAAAATTACTCAGCTTTATTATAACAGCTGTTTTGATCATTGAATAATCATTTTAAGTCATTTTAAGCAAAAATGTAAAATATTTGCTGTTTGCCTATCTTATTTTCTTATATTGTTTCTTCATAAACAATAGTAAACTGAATATCTTTGGATTTGGACAGTGGGTCAGACAAAACAAGACATTTGAAGATGGGAAATAATGAAATGCATTTTTCACTATTATCAGGCGTTTTACAGACAAAACAATTAGTTGATCAATCTAAAAATAATCTGCGGATTAATCGATAATGAAAATGGTCGTTATTTGCAGCCCAACACACAATGATAAAAATTAGCTGATTAGAAAGTATAGATGTGAATGTTTCAAGGATATAGCTTTTTGTACCCTAAGACCCGTCACAGAGTAGACGTACAGAGATGTACAAACTCGTATAGATATAATATCAGCATTACCATCAGCAGAAGTGTCTCTGTCTGTTCACAGATTTACAACTTAATTATTTTTTTGTTTAAGAGCAGGTCAATTTAGGCGTCAGGTTTGAAAAGAGACACTAAAACCATTTCATTCTGCAGCACGGCCTATACGTATTAACCAAACTTGGTTTAACAAGTTAAGTGAAATTTGAGTGAAGTCTGGTATGATCTAACTTAGCGTTAACATTAGCTAACAGTTCAGCTGGTCTGCTCAGCGTTACCGTTAAGAAAAATAATGAGATGTTGTTGAGCTTTGTCGATCCACCAACCTGTACAATCTGTCGATCCATGTCCTCTGAAATGCCTCTCACTTTCCCACTCATGAGCAGCAAGATTTTAAATGTTCATCCAGAGAGCCAACGCTTCATGTTTCCACGAAGCAGCTCTACTGTGAACCAACTGTTGCCAGGACGGATGATGTTTGCGGCTGCACAATGACGGAGGGTTTTACAGTGACGGACACATTTCCTGTCGGACCAATCCGATTTGTGTTATATTTTGTTTTGACTTGTTTTTGAATAAAAAAGGTAAAACTATTAAGTAAACTATATGCTATGATCATTATTATTATTTGTTAGTTTTTTTTTTAGGAGAAGGAGATATATTGTAAGTAATAATAACAGTAACGACCGACAAATTATGCGAAAGTTCTTTTAAGCTAAAGGTAATATTTACAACATTTATGATTTTCATATCGCTGCAGGATTTATGATTTGAATATGGTTTTTACATTCATTATGAAAAACAAAAATAAGACTTTATTGGTGTATTTACTTTGCCAAATTTAGCTACAAACCAGTTTTGTAGTTTTTCAATCGTGGTATACACTATTCGCCGTTAACTGGCCCGATTGCTTAAAATGCATGTTCCACTAAAATAAATAAATATTTATTAAATAACACAAACTGAACAGTATGTAATGGGAAGTAGTCTAAGTTCAAATTGACCGTATCAAAATTCAACAAGAGGGGAGCAATAAAGTTTCAAAAACATCAGCGGCGAATTAACAATCAGTGCAACCAGTGCATTATTCAAACTTATTTAAAGTGAAAGTTAATAAAAAATTAAATTTTCATGAAATTGACAGTGAGATCTATTAATTAAATTTCCCAACCATACATGGCACCGTTTGTTGCAAGTAGTCCGCTCGACTACATTAATACTAAACTCAAAATCTTAGTTATACATTTAATTGTCCACACGATGGCACTATAACAAAAAAGACTCACAGTGAGGTAGTACTCCACCCAAAGTCTGTGTTAAGAGTGCACTTACAAGGTAGCTGTATAAAGTTTGTCATTTCGCTGCTTTAGCAGTCAGGTTGATTTATATCAGTTAATGGTTACCAGTATTGACATGTTTAAGATGGACGAAGAAAAAAAAATTCAAACCATTAAAAACTTATGCAGTCAAATCCTGGGTTTTAATATAGGTTGCAGGTTCATTACATCATTGAAGAGACCCACTGAGGAATTTGTGGAATTCAGCAGTAGCCGTTCGACAATACTTCATTAATAGTAAAATGTTACATATCAGATCCATTGTAAGGACACACCAGATTCTGATGTGACAGGAGAGTAAAGGCACAGGTGTCCCCCAATATTAAGAATGCCTCCCAGTTTGTGATCCAGCATATACAATACAGAGACTCTGAAAATGAGGCAGCTAAATGGAATTCAGCCCTCACTAATGCCACCTACTGGGCCTGTGGTTGTATAAAGAAAACTTATATTAACAATTCTGGAACTGTATTTGAATGTGCTGGTCAACTGTTTTAATTTGCAGTGTAAAGCAACATGTGTGTAACTTCCATAAATATTAAAGTGCAGTTGAAGACAAAATAAAATGTTCCTTTTATTATCTTTATGTGGCAAGATAAATAAAGACCAAGTAGTCAGACTGGAATCTCAGACATGTGCGCTTTATTGGGTAGTTGTGTACACCAAAGGCTTGAAGCCCAATGCACAAACCTTCAAACACCTCCATACAAGGTAGAAGCTTTGTCTTTTGCATAATGACAAAAACAAACTGGACCAAGTATTGTTTAAGGCTGAAAGTACAAAAAAACAAAACAAGTTTCAGATTACATAATTTACATATTAAGCAAAACTACAGGTCTGTTGGGCAGTGGACCCACCAGAGAATAAACCTTCATAGAGGCAAATAAGGTGGTGAACAAAGACATCTGGAATGACCTACACAAACACGACAATGGACATCATGTTCCTCACATTCACACCGCCTGGGACGCTCTGTACTTCCGGCAGAGTTTCTCCCCATCAGGGGGCATGGTGCCATAGCCATAGTGATGAGGGAAATGGGAAGAGGTGTTGTGGGCTCAGCATACACCAGTGTGTTGGTGTAGGCATGTATGCAGAGCCCGTCGTTTGGGTTTGTAGCAGTGTGTGTTTTGGGGGAGGGGGACTGACAGTCTGTTTAGAAGCACTTCCTGTGGACAATGCTGGGGCCAGACTCATCATACTCCTGCTTGCTGATCCACATCTGCTGGAAGGTGGACAGGGAAGCCAGGATGGACCCTCCGATCCATACAGAGTACTTCCTCTCTGGGGGAGCAATGATCTGCATGGAGGAACATGAAAAAGGTATTAAAGACACTGGAGTCCATTTACACCAGGTCAAAAGCAAGCAATAGACTGAATACTGCATTAACTGCATTTGTCCACTGAGTGGCAGTAGAGGTAAAGAGCTTTCTGGAACTTTTTTGGCATCATTGCCACAGGGAGGATGTGAGTGATAAGGAGGAGTTTTACCTTAATCTTCATGGTAGTGGGTGCCAGGGCAGTGATTTCCTTCTGCATACGGTCAGCAATGCCAGGGTACATGGTGGTACCACCAGACAGCACAGTGTTGGCGTACAGGTCCTTACGGATGTCCACATCACACTTCATGATGCTGTTGAAGGTAGTTTCATGGATACCACAAGACTCCATACCTATGAAAAGAGGGTGTATAGTCAAATATAAGTCACCGTTTGTTTTCTATATATTCCCCCCCATATCTCAAAAATGGTGGCTCCATGATATTACTTACCAAGGAAAGAGGGCTGGAAGAGAGCCTCGGGGCAACGGAACCTCTCATTTCCAATGGTGATGACCTGTCCGTCAGGCAGCTCGTAGCTCTTCTCCAGGGATGAGGAGGAGGCAGCAGTTCCCATTTCTTGCTCAAAGTCCAGTGCAACGTAACACAGCTTCTCCTTAATATCACGCACAATCTCACGCTCAGCTGTGAGGAGAAGAAAAGACGTTTTATCATATTTTTTGTCTCCCATAGCTTTAAATAACAGTTTGTTTTGAAGACAGTGTTTGTGCGCTGCTCACCTGTGGTGGTGAAGCTGTAGCCCCTCTCAGTAAGGATCTTCATGAGGTAGTCTGTGAGGTCTCTGCCAGCCAGGTCCAACCTCAGGATGGCGTGGGGGAGGGCGTAGCCTTCATAGATGGGCACTGTGTGGGTCACACCATCACCAGAGTCCATGACAATACCAGTGGTACGACCTGAGGCGTACAGGGACAGCACAGCCTGGATGGCCACATACATGGCAGGGGTGTTGAAGGTCTCAAACATGATCTGGAGGAGAGAGGGAGAAGAGAGATGAGTCATCCAATCAGTGAGTCAAAGCAACCTGAAGTAAGCTGCTATGGGTTAGTACAGTCAGATCAAGAAAAGCACAGCACACTGGCCTGTTTTGTTTTGAGTATAAACACCAACCAGTCATTAAAATGATCTGTACTTTAGTTTGGTCATGTTGACTGTACAAGATGGAGTGCAGCAACCTGCTCCATTCATTATTTGTTGCATCATGCAGTCAGTGTAGTTAGATGCTTGTCATCTACTTTAGCAAGTCCAACACAAGCCTAATTTGAAAAAAATAAAAAACAGCAGTGACCATGCTGCAACTAGTCATTCCTGATGCATCACAGTGCAGAGGGGTAGAGACCTGAAGCATCCGCAGAGATGAAAAGATCAGCTCAGGACAGAAGAAACCTGGAGATTATAGGAGCAGGAGGAAATGGATTGAAAAGAAGAAATGCCTGGGCAGCAACACAGTTCCCTGTTGGGCCCTGCAGGTTAGCTGAGCAGGTTTCCTGACTGAGGGGATTTGTCAGCATGCGTGACAGCCAATGTTACCTGGGTCATCTTTTCTCTGTTGGCCTTAGGGTTCAGGGGGGCCTCTGTGAGCAGGACTGGGTGCTCCTCAGGGGCAACTCTCAGCTCGTTGTAGAAGGTGTGATGCCAGATCTTCTCCATGTCATCCCAGTTGGTGACAATACCGTGCTCAATGGGGTACTTAAGAGTCAGGATTCCCCTTTTGCTCTGTGCCTCGTCACCAACATAGCTGTCTTTCTGGCCCATACCAACCATCACACCCTGGGAAGCAAAGGGGAGCGTGATTAGAGATTCAAATCAAAACTGCGATGTTGTGATGTATGTTGTTCAAGGTTTAGGAATCATAATGTGATGGGGAAGCTGTATACCTGATGCCTGGGACGTCCAACGATGGAGGGGAACACAGCACGTGGAGCATCATCTCCTGCAAAGCCAGCTTTGCACATACCGGATCCGTTGTCAACAACGAGGGCGGCAATTTCGTCTTCCATTTTCTGGATAGAGAGGGAGAGAAAGGGATAGGAAATTAGTAAATGTTTAAAAAGTGATGCTCTGTGACAGTCCTGTGTTAAATCCAGCAACCATCAATTCGGTTAAATCCATGTCATTATAGAGACTGGACGCTGGATGTCGCAGTGGCGCAGGTTCCAGTCCAAATCCAGAGCTGAGAAACAAAGGCTGTTTCTCCCTCGGTCTGGCTATGGCCATATAAGGCGAAAGTGAGAGCAGCTTAGAGACGGCGGCAGCCCGGCCCGTGAAGCCGCCCCGTTTGTCGTTAAACCTGAAATGACACCGACAGCCGGCCACTCCCTTCAACGGGATCATCATAACTGAATTACCTATCTTCACATCGCTAACATGCAGCCTACTTTAAGACAGTCGTTTTAACAGTTGAAATGAATTAACTTCCATCCCACTGTCATCAGGTGCACCGATATGTCGTGACCATGGTTACAAGGTTATGTTTATAATAAAAAAATAAATACATTTTTTAAAAAAAAAAAAAAAGGCAATTTCTGACTAACATTCATAAGATGTTAGATTGTTGAATTACTGCATAGGTGTAATGTCACAGCAACATTTTTTAAGTTTCTACCTACAATTTTAGTTAAGTCTTTTTAAGTTTAATCTGTCCAAGCAGCCATCATCTGTTTGTGGAAGTGTGTGTGTGTGTGAAACCGGAGACACCAGAATCCGGACACCGTGCCAAAGCAGCTACTTACATGTAAACGGAGAGGGTCAAGCTTTTTTTTTTTCTTTTAACGCAGTCTGATTTGTTTGACTGATGAAGCGATGACAACATGCAGCAGCCGGGTTATTTCCACACCATCCGTTAAATATAAACGACAGAATACCAGCCCCATATCTAGTTACACTTAATCGTTAGTGACAGCTTCCTCTTTAACTGCAATGGCCAGGTGCCTGAGCACGAAATATATAACGAATCGCGGGGCGAATTGAAGTTCCACCGGCTGCTTCAACTTGACGGGTGTTGCACAGAAAACCTCACATCATAACTTAAACGGCGGACTAACTTCAGTTTGAATCCTTAAATTATCACATGCACACATCAAAGAAGAAGCATTTAAAATATGACGAAAAATTTCATCCTCATTCCGCAGCTCTCTTACCTGTATGAGGGAGGGTTACCGGCTTAGGAGGACTGTGACTGAGCGCTACACTCCGCTTGGGTTTAGTGTCTGAACTTCACTGCAATGAAGGCCAGTAGACTGCAGGGTTTTATTAGAGCTCGTGCTGCAGCCCCTCTCCATAAAAGGAAAACTTTCCGCACGACGCCATCTGATTGGTTCTGCCGCATCCACTGGGTGTGGCGCATGCAGATAACAGCTCTGCGCTCTGACAAGACAGGGGGGGGACGAGCGACATGAAAACTAGTCTATACACTATCAAAATGATCAATCTGGGATTGTTCAGTGTTCAATAATGTTGTTCAATGTGTTTATCTCTTTCTCTTTCACTGTATATTATATAATAATGATGATAAACAAGTGTGACACACACAAGGGCAACAAGTCCCACAGCTCTTGTGGTAAAATACACAATATAGTCCACGAGTAAACAGCAAACTCAAAATATGTGTTTTTCTTTTTTTTGATATTGCTAAAATGAGCGAATTCATATTATTTCTAATCCCTGACATAATCTGTAATGGCAAGGGGTCCACATAATATCATGGTTACACAAACCGTGAACCACAGTTGATTAAATAAACCCATGCTAATTCTATTTTTGTGCATTGGAGGAATATCTAAGTGCAGTACATAGACAAACATTCCCATAATTCTTCTAATGAACTGAAGGACAAAAGAGAATCCAGAATCCAGTTCTAGATTGCACTGAAGCCTGCTAATGTATTTGTTGCAAAGCACAATTTTCTCATTCATCACGGACACTTGTGGTGAGTAGTGCCAGGACATGGGGTAGTTACAATCTCAGGGTCACTGACAGCACTGTTAACACCCCGACTGACACGTCTGCCCTTGGCATACACGACACACACAAATCACACATGCCGAGCAAAGTGTAAGTGATACTTGTGGTCAAGCTGGGTTATGTTGACAGCAAAGAGTAGCAAGGGTGTAAATCTGTTATCTCTCACCACTTGTGTGATAATGTTTTAAGTGAGTGGAAGGGGCAGATTAACCTCGCTTCCCTCGGTGAGATGCAGTAGTCAGGTGTGTAATTTTCAGAACACACCTATATTTGGTAGCATGAAACTACAAGACCTGTTTTGAAATTGTTATTTGTGAGTGTGACTCACTTAGATACGCATGAACACACCTGCTCAAGCACACGCCCTGATGTGTCACACAGCTAACCTCATTGTGATTCTCTGACCTGAAATACTTGTTTAGGTGCTACATTTATTTTCATGGACACACACTTGGAAATCTTCATGCAAAGCTCATTTTATAAATTGACCAGGGACTAAGTGGGTGGGTAAGGGTGCCGTTTTAACTCAATAAGGGCACCGGACAAAGACTCATAAACTTACACTAGGAATTCTTGCTGGCTCTATGTGTTCCTAATAAGGATATATGGCAGCCAGCTCACCAGAAAAGACAGGAAGTATGTTTCACAGAGCCTTACTTATGCAGATGCACGCAGGAAGTGACCACAGAGACCTACAAACATACACACATATACATGCCCATATGTCATCAGGTATGGAGCAGCTAAGGACAACATAGAGCTGATCAGGGAATTGGCTTTTCAGACTGGCATTATCCTGCTCCAGACAGACACTAAGCACACACACACAGACACACACACACATGTTCACACATGCACACAGCAAGTTTAGAGCCAGGACAGGACAACCATCCCTTTAAGAGTTCCTTTGGATGACGTCCATATAAGGAGATATTGGAGCGAGTCACATGGGGGGAAGAATGCACTGCTCAGGTCATGTGACCAGTCTGAGGAAATGAATGAATCTCCCTTTTTAAGGCTGTGTGTGTGTGTGTGTGTGTTTATGTGAATGCGCATGTTGTTTTATTTCACCACCTTTCACCTTGATTTCTGTGTTCCTCACCCATATACACAGAGTGACATTTAGATTTATTTCTTCTTTTTTTAAACTTTGCTCTCACTAACTCCTCCCTATCATTTCTCATCGTTTCTTCTGGATAGTCATGCCATTCCTCAAGCCATTTCAAAACTCAGCAGCGTGCATGACTCATGCATGCATTACAACACACACTCACACACGTACGTGCTCCCTCCCTGCATTGCTCACTTGCACAGTCAGAGAAACTCACAGGCCTGGCTCTCAGCTCTGACTAAGACCGTATAAGGAAGAAGCTAGCAGGTAGCTTCTGTCCACTTTTCACTCATCCCTCTCCCTATCTCTCTCTCTCTTTTACACACATTCACTAGCTTCCTTTATTTGCCACATTTCCTCTCTCTCCCGAATCAATCACTCCCTTATTCATTTTCCCAGGATAGGGACAATTATAGGAGTGCAATATGAGGTCAGTGCACATATTTGCCTGTTTCACTCCCTGCCAGTCTTTCCCAGTCATTTATGGCATCACATTCCAGCTGAGTTTCATGCACAGCATTGAGAGGAGGTGTGGCTCATTTGTGTATGGCTGGGTGTGTGTGTGTGTGTGTGTGCTCGCTCAATTTATTTATACACATTTACACTTATTGTTTCACAATTTTTATTAACAAAAAAGAACATTTGAGCCTTAGATTGCAATGAGCTGCAAATACCAGTGTCGGAGCAGATTTAATTCTTGATGTGTCAAGCAGTCCAGCTCTTCCCAAGGTCTACCAGCTCCATGCCTTCACAGTAGGACCGGGGCCTTGAAACCCTCACCTGGTTTCACACAGGAACAACACATAATCACATAATGAAACCAGATACATCTCTTTAAAAACACACACAAACACACACACACACACACACACACACACACACACACTCACTGTGGGTGTCCTGTGGGAAGCCAGTTGCTGCAGAAGTGGGAATGGAGTCCACTGAATGGGTTCCACAGGCCAGCTACAGACGGAAAGGTCACTGGCCTTACCTGAGTCCAACACGCCATCCCCCATACTCATTTCACTTCCCCTCCAACCATATTGAGAGCTACAGGTAATACACAGAGCCAAAGGATTAGTTAGGGTCACACAGGCAACGTCTTTATACGTGTGAGTGTGAATACTTATAGAAATACATTTACATTTTTATCAAGAGTAATAGTTTAAGAGTTTAAGTTTTACTCATTAATTAATGGGTTTTAATGTTTCATTCACTTTATTGTAGGAGAAATTTAGGAGAATGATTATGATGGTCAATATCTTAACAGCAATCCATTCATTCATTTCATTCATTCAATCTTTATTAAGGACACAGCTCATGGGGGGTCCATAGGAAGAAAACGACGAAAAACAAAAAAGAAGATTCCTGTAAATTAACGGACTTTAATGTCACTAAATTACATTGATTTAGTTATTGTTATGTTTTAGCCTTTTATATTTGTGTTTTACCCATTTACTCGTTTGCTTTTGCATTCACTTAAATAAAGTACTGAATCCTATAGTTAAAGCTGCTCACCAATGGATAAAATGACTGTGTGTAATATGATAGGGACCTGAGACAATGACAAACCCACAGAAAATTATCATTCTACTGAGCTCTACAGGCCTTTTTTTTATTTTCAGCATATTTCATACTATTGTTTTCATTCTCTGACCAACAACTGTGCTATTTTGGTTCAGTCTTACTGCTCTTATTGGCATTTTTCCCAGATGCAGGCAGCTGTTTAGCAAAAAAGCAGTGATGAACCACTGTACTCTACCCGTTCAGCTCTAATTGGCAGACCGACAAAGTTAGCAAGTAGATGTTGAAGATAGTGGAGCATTCAGCAGCTACAGAGCCAAATATTTCCCTCAGGAGCTAGACAAAACCACAAGAGAGCTAAGAGGAGAGCTAATTTACATGTGTCACTTGGCCTGACATGACTTCAAATGAATACTGTTGCTCTGTGTCTGCTGTTTGTTTAATAAGCAACTGTTTGCTAACACATTTACCATTTATTAACAACTTTATAGTGTGATAAAATGTCATTGTTGTGTTTACATGTTCTGCTGCTCCAAGTACCTGAAAAATAACTTTAATGCAGGTTTAAAAGGGGCTGTGAGGTGGTTTCGTGCTGGGAGCGGGTGGTGGTGATTATCGCTTGAGAAGCTTTGGCCATCATTGCATTTACAAGATAAGAAGTTATAATACGCCCTCTGAGCAGCACTATGTCTTCAGGGCAGACCGACGAGATGGGCCGGGGCCTCGCTGGTTAGCATGCTAACTTCAGTTGAAGAAAAGATGTGACAGAAACAAGAGTTAACATAAGTGTTGCATTATAATATTGTTCTGTTTACTATGTGGGGGCTAACTCTTACCCACCTTAGAGTGACAGCTGGACTGGGCTTTTGTACCGAAGCTCCAGGCAGCAGGTTGTATGCATTCAGCTTGCTTGTGATCATTGTTTTCTGAGTTAGTTATCACTTAAATCTGATTTTGCTTTATATGGCGTGTACACGACAGCAGACTAAATGCACATGTATGTTATATGGTATGCATACTGTGTTATATATTTTCATGTTTTCAGGTGGATTTCACCTGATGGCTGATGACAACAAACCACTGAAATTCTGAAGCTCTTGTAACTGAGAACAAAATAACATATGAACTTCTGATACTGTCAAACACATTGACAGTTCATGTGTGACCACCTACTGAATGTGTGTGTGTGTGTGTGTGTGTGTGCATGCGCACCTGTGTGGGTATATCGTATTGATGCGTGTTCCGTGGCTGGGGCAGGTGGAAGCCAGTGACAGCGTGTCGTCGTGGTAACAGCAGGGGCGGTCGAGAGCCCGCAGGTGCAGTAATTCATCGGAGCGTGTGAAGGCCGGATTGTCCAGTGAGTCTGCTGATCCCGCCCACGAACGCAACCAGAACCGACCTGAGAGCTCATCAAAATGGTTGAACCTGCGATAGCTGTGCACACAACAAATCATAATGAGACGTCAAATATTCACAGGACACATTATTTGTTGTATCTGCTTCAACTATACCTAGGATATAGTTATAATTACTGGCATGTAACTGGCACTGGCAAATGTACCTAGGAGAACTGATGATGTTTTAAAGGCAAAGGGAGATCACCCCAAAATATTGATCTGATTTGAGTTTTTTCTGTTTGCTGCACTTTGTATGAAGCAATTTCACTTTCCTTTTAGTGTTTAAAACTGTTTATACATTAGGAGTTTACACTAAAACTAACACAGTCTAATACAACAGTCCTGCAATAAATCCTCCTTCATGAAGGTTTCACTGTTCAGTTTTTGTTGACACTGTATTAAAGAGGTGTTGATTCAACTGCACAAGAGACACACCTCTTTGTACAATGCACGAGCATGAGCGTATATATACACTCACTAAGCACTTTATTAGCTTTAAAAGACTGGATCCAAACATTTGCACTTAAGCGCATTTGCAGAGGGCTGTCCTAATCCACAACTCATCAAGTCCACACGGGGCCATACCGGACTGGATCTGATGACTGTGACCATGTATGACTGAAGCCCATGAGGCCGGTCTGCAAGTCTGGAGGGTGGATATTTAGATTTAGACCGACAGTTTCAACATTTACCAACAAAGCATTCATCCTGATAATGTGTTTCTCCAGCCAGACCATGACACCTAGTGGACATTACTGTAATTACATCTACTGTGTGTGCGGTTCTGCCCATCTCCGTGGTTTTTCCTGCGTGGATTACAAGACATGACCTCTCACCAAATTGTGTGTGTGTGTTAACATGTGGGTTATATTGGTATTTAAAAATGTCAACCCAGAAGCCCATTGCACTGCTCACTACACACCAAAACTACCATCTTCCATTTTATTCATTTTCAACATATTTTTAGACTGATCAAACTAGATCTTTCTCTAAACATCTAATTGTGTTGATACATAATGTTCAATGCACAAAGTATCTGCAGGTCTTGAAAAGTCTTAAAAAGCATAAACTTTTTCCTCAAAAAAGGCCTTAGAAGAAATTCAAAAAAGTTAATTCATAAAAATCTTAAATATTTTCTTTTGCCTGCAGGCAGTAATGTCAGTTAAAAAATGTTTCTGTATTAGACTGTAGTCTGTTACACACTTAAAAACTGGGGTTGTGAGATTGTTGTAACAGTACATTATGCTCACAGGAGGCTTTTCACTCCTGTAGAGTCAGAACCATCAGACCTGGAGCAGGTGCTACAGTAGCTAGGAAAGTCATTAGCTCATTATAGTCAATTATCAATTTTAGCAAAGACTAAATTAATATTTTTAGATTAGTTAGTCCATCCACCCATTTTATGTTGCTTATCCCCATCCAGGTAATTTCAATTATTAGTTCATATTAATATATCATTAGAAATTGTTGTTACTGTTGGGAAGTACTGAAAATATGTGATATAATAAAAAATAAATCTATGTTCTATCCCTATCCTATCCCATCCCTAATGGTTTTTCATCATGCTCTCTTGTATTAAATTGCATTTTATATGGCTTTGAAGTTTAACTGGGTGAATCCTGCAGAAGCCCTGCATGTAATACAACTGCGCATCCTGTATATTAGTCTTTGCATTGTAGGTTCAGTGTTGTGAGCAGTGAGTATACATGTGTACATTAGTGTGTACCTGCTGCGAGTCTGATCTACTTTGGCCTGGATTAGGACGGCTCGATAGCGCCGCACTGCCACAAAGGCCAAAACACCGATGACTGTCACCATGACGAGTAGGATGGCAAGACATGCGCCTACTAGCCGCGCTCGGGTCATCCTCACATCACACCTCTGACCCATGTACCAGAAGTCCTCTCCTACAAGGCAGCTAATACACAAACAAAAACATGCTTACATGCACAAAAAAATCTTGGATGGACAAGGAGATGCATAATTGTTACAGAAATATGTGCGCCTGTGTGTGTGTGTGTGTGTGTGTGTGTGTGTACTTACCGGCAAACTGGAAGTTGTCCCGGATGGTGTGTGCAGATGCCGTGGTGGTGGCAGTAGTCAAAGTGACAGACAGAGGAACAGCTATAGTTTGCTGCACCCGGCTGGGACAGACATTTGTAGCCTGCTGGGCACTGTAGCAACCAGTCACACACATCACCCTGCAGACCTGGAGAGAAGATGTGTTAAAGGATAAGGCTGACAAATGCCACAAAAAGACCAACACCAATATTGTGTTTGTGACGTCCTTTCCCTGTTTGATATACTGATAAATAGGACAGTGTAGGTAGAATTGATTTTAAATAAACTTCAGTGGTCATGTATATCATAATGACAGCGCATCAGTGGGACTCATTAATGTGTTTTTGATAGCTGGACAACAATGGAGGAACAATAGAGGAATACAATATATCAGGCTTCAGCTACATTGGAAAAACTTGTTAGTAGAATTAATCTTTTGTTCTTGTTTTGTTTTTTTTCAAGGGATGTGTTGCCCGAAAAAAAAAAACATCTAATATTATCTGAATTATACTTTAAATATGTCTGCTTGCATGTCAATGTTAAAACATTAGCTGAAGTACCATGCAGATGATGGGGCATGTTTCAAGGAAATTAGCAAATAAAATAATAAATATATAGGTTTTGTAAATTGATTTAGTGTAATTTAGTGAATATGTTTACATGCAGAGTTGGCCGACTTTCGTTTGAACTGTATTATTTGACACACTGCAAACCGTGTATGCCCATCTGCCAACACAATATGCCTTTCAACATTATTCGTCCACCGGCAAACAGTAAACAAATGACCGACTGAGGCTGCTTTATTCCAGACCACCATGTGTTTTGACAACATCGAAATGCAGCCACAGCACTTGTGTCATTGTGAATTTTTACACATGGCAAACACCACAAGCGAAAGGGACAAGATAATAACATGCCATAATAACAAGTTTAATGTCAGAGTACGAGAGCCACACTAATCAGATTTCTCATAATTGGATTATGATAAACTGGGTCGATCTAACTGAGTTATGAGGTTCTCACGAGTCTGCCTGTAACTGGGTTTATTAAGTAAGCAAGTTAAGAATGGAATTCCCCCTCAGGTAAATGAAGCCACTGTGGGTGACCGCTAACCGGGCAGTTTAAGTATTTCTGTGCGTTCATTACAAAGTTGACAGAAGAGAGATGACAGGAAATGATGGGAGAGAGGTGGAGAATAGCGTGTAGAAAAGGTGCCTGGCTGGACTCGCCTTAAACCCCTCCGCCACCAAGAACCTTTAGTAGTAGTAGTAGCATGTGGGCATCTCAACTCAGGCTCACCTCCTAATGTGATGTTGGTGACCTTAGACGATCTGAACGCCCTCCCCTCACGAACTGCCTGAGCAAGCCCTGTTCGCTCCAACAGTGATGTGGGTCCCGTCACGCTGAGCCACTGCAGAGCCCCTCTGGTTTTAAACTCCACCACACTCTGCACTGCATGGCCACTGGAACAACAGCAGAACAGTACATTCACCTTCTGCCCCGTTCCTCACACAACCCACCGCAACCTAGCAACAGACTGTGCTTCTTCTTCTTCTTCTTCTAAGTATTGTACAAATTAAAATTCTGACCTGTTGTTGCTAAATGAAAAGTTAAGGAATCACTTAAGTAATTAAAATTCATTCTACAGAGCTCATGAATATCTGCACCAAACATTGTGCCAATCCATCTTATAGAAGTTGAGATACAGCACAAGATGTGACTTGCTGGTGGCACTACAGGAAAAGTCAGGGGACCGCCAAAGTTGTTAGGATCCGTCCTGTTGAAACGGTGGATAACTGCAGCAAATTTCACGGGAATCCATCAAGTAGTTATTGAGATATTTCCGTTAGGACCAGAGTTGTGGACTGACCATCTATCCGACACTGCCACACCTGGAGCCATGCACTTTTTGCTGGGTATGTATTTTTCTGAAACTTTAATGAGTTTGGTGACTTGAATTTAATTGAAATACACGAGAGGGACAAACTGAGGCTACCTGCAGCTTTGCTACATATGAACTCTGCACCACTTCACCTGCTCCAGACCCCAAGCAGCCTGCTGAACCCCGGGGCTTTCTGTAGGTATGGCTCCACCTGAAAGAAACAGGGAGAAATAACTTTGTGGCACTAAAATAAAACATAACACGCACACATAACATAACACATAAAACTCTAAAGCTATTCTAAAATGACATGTTTATTAGTACGTTTATGTGGGCCACTGTGTGACAGTGTGTTTGTCTACATAATCCCTCACCCAAGCAACAGTGTCTTCCTCCAAGCCGGCGGTAAAATCCGATTTGGACTCTTCTACAATTATCTGCAGCAGCAGCTCAACTGACTCCACTGTACAGAACAAACACATAATTCAATTAGGACAGGCCTGTACATTTAATTACATAACACAAAAACACAGAGACATTACCTCTAACAGCTGCAGGCAGGTCTGGCACAATGTAAAACTTGGGTGTCTGACTCGTTGTGGAGCTCCAAGTGGGTGCGGAGGTTAAAGCAGAAGGTGTGAGCGCTACATGGCCGTCCTGGCTGGGATGTGGGGTTGTCCAGGGTGAAGGTCGCCCTGGTGGGTCAGCTGTGGGAGTGCGTGTGGTGGCGCTGCTGGACTCATCCTCTTTCTCCATTTCTACTTCTCTGCCTCCATATCCATATTCTAATTTTGCAGTTGTGAGTGAGAGCAGAGGAGTACGTGTTGTAGTAATGTGGTTGTGGGACTGTTTATGCGTAGCAGGGACGTCAGTAGAAGACAGCAAAGGCGTGTGTGAAGATGTAGGGTTGATTGTTGATGCTTGTGAGGATGTAGGCACAGGCTCGTTGTTGGCTAAGACTGTGTGCACGGTGGATTCAGTGACAGAGGAGGTTAGAGATGTGGGCGTGTGAGTGGTGTGTGAACTACCGGAAACCGCGGTAGGTCGGTGTGGAGATGTACTGAATGACAAAGGAGGAACGGGAGTCGGTGAATTTGTGGGTGAGTTTTCACGCAGGGGTGTGTAGGTGGGACGCAGTGTATACGTTTCAGCAGCAGTTCCTGTGGCAGCTGAGCTTTGGACAACATCTGCCAGTGTAGAAGATGAACCTGTGAAACTCGAAGTGCTGTCTTCAACTTTGGTAATGACAGACGACGACGAGGGAATGCTGTTTGTAGTCATGTGTGCATTAATGAAATTCCTTTGTGTACTTTCTGTTCGTGTGTGTGTGAATGTAGAGGGTGTGTGAGGAGAGTTTGTGAGGCTCTCTGTGCTTTGTGGAGACTTCGTTTGACTCCGAGCGGAAGGAGCGGGAGTGTGAAGCTCTACCGTGTCGTCAAATGTACCAAACGCAGCAGTTTGACTGGAAACATCTGATGCAGCAGATTCAAAGGAGTCGGTTCGACTCGTGTTTGGATGAAACGACGCGTCTGCCACCGCGGTACTAACAGCGGCGTCAAGCTCTGTGATGTGGGTGTTGGGTGACTGGTGAGTCTCGGCGGGAGCCTGTGAGGATGTAGATGATTCGGCGGGTTCACTGCTGGAGTCATCCTGCGGAGGTTCGCTGGGCGATGTTAAAGGGTCAGATGTGACGGCAGAGGTCAGATCAGAGTTAAGTCTGTCTGTGCTTCTCTGGCTCCTCCAGGAATGGCGTTGGTTCTCTCCAAGTGTCCCGCTAACAGCTCCACCACCTGGGATTAGGACGGTACTACTCTCCCAGGTTGTCAGGGCGTGTAGCTCAGGGGGAGAAGAGGTGAGAGGCGGGATGCTGGAGCTGGACACAGTGGAATGAGCTTGTGTGGTTATATGTTTGTCTGTGTGTTTAGATGTGTGACTGATTGCATGCTTGTATGTGTCTGTGCCAAGAAAGGTGTCGGTGCTACTGGCTGTTGCATCTGTCAGTGCCATCTGGGTTTGAGGGAGCTCGCTGCCAGGGTTTGTTTCTGTGTTTACGGCGTTTAAAGTGTCTGTATGGAGTGTATGTTGAAAACAGGGGTGTGTTCTCTCTCTGGCAGATATGGGACCATCAGTGAGGTGATCAGCTCCAGATGTATCCGCTCCATTGTTTGGTCCTTCCTCAGGAAGAGGGAGAGTTTCCCTATCGGACCTCCCAGCCACAGTGAGTCCGTGCAGGGGTGAGGTGGGGTGCAGCGGCCCCTGGTCCTGAGAGGAGGTACCAGACACAGACTGAAGCCCAGGACTCCACTCCAGACCTTCGTGGAGGCGGCCTCTGACCCCTTCTGTTCCTCTCACCACCTCTTGACTAACAGGAGTTGCGCTTGTAAAGCTGGTTCCTGTCTGAGACCGAGGTACGAGGCCTCGGTCTGTATGTGGGCTGGTGTGGTCCTCCGAGGAATTCCTCTCATCTTCCTGGACTGGACGACCAGGAACAAACACAAAAACAGAGAGGGACAGAGTGAGTGAGTGGAAACCACAACAACATCTCTCTGTCTCTCACACCACAGTGAGTGTGATAACAACTTTCCGACTGACAGATTTACAGCTCACAGCACATTTTGAACAATACATTTCCACAGTATGTTTCCACAGGAGTGACCACAACATTCCTCTTTACTGTAAACAGAATTCTTTTTTTTTTTTACAGCTTTGCAACTCTTACTTTTTCACAGTGTCAACAAACATAAGCAAAGGCCAGCTCTAAAACAAGTCTGCTCCAAATGTTATTACCACGATTAGATCAAATTCTCGTGATCGAGGTGCAAGCGCAGGCAGGTAGGCCAGACTGGATTAAAGTGGGTAATTGCGTTGACAGTTTCTCACCATAATAGGACAGCTGAATTGCATTTGAGGAGTGTCCTGCTCCTGACCAAGCGAGGGTGGCTTTGTTTCCGTCACAACCGGAGAGCAGAGCTGTCCCCTCGTTCTCCAGGACATGATCTTCCTCATTCCAAACACAGCGCACTGATATGTTTGAACCACTTTCCAACCGCACCGCCTTCAAAAGTACCGTCCTCCCCACAGGAATATCTATCATCCAAGTACAAAGTGAAGGGGTCTCCTCAGACTCGTGGTTCATGGAGTCAGGTCTGTTGGTGTCAGTAAAAAGTCCAGGTAAAGTGAGACTGATGTGACCATCGGGCTCTTGATCCAGGCTGACATTTCCACCACAGCATTGGTGCGACAAGGCCAATGTTTTATCTGAGGAAAGAAAAGAAAAAGATGTTGGTAAAAGAGGGAATCACTCTGGCATAAATCTCCTGACCTCCGTGTGATGGTGTAGTTTGATTATTTAGACATTTAGTTGTGAGCAGTTCAACCAAAGGGGAAGTTTTCATTCTGAGATCATTTCATTTGAAGGATTCTTCCCCCAAAAAACTCTTTCTCTCTTCTTTCCAATTCCTTTTATCATCTGATGACCCCAAAAATTTGGACTGAGGCTTTCAGTTTACCACTAAACTCAACTCTGTACACAGAAACCTCTACTAACCTAGTTCGTGTTGACAACAGAGCAGCACTATTGTGACTTTATTCAAAAGTAGCAGATAATGAAACAGCAGTTTCAGCTAAAAAAAGTGTCCAATACAAAGATCAGTGATGATAAAAGGAGTACATAATGAGACTGGAGCAGATTCACATAATAAACGTGTAGGCTGTAACGCAGAGTCCAGTGGTTTCTTTACCTGTTGTGATAATAAAAAGCAACAGACAGGCGTTGAGCTGCATTTCCAATCCTGAGACATTTCAGTGTCGGAGAACGTTTTAATCCCAAATCCATACAGGTTTTCCAGACTTGCGTTATGATGAGGACGGGCACGCCGCGAAAAGCGAAAATGATCTCCAGTTTTCCTGCGGACAGTCCCAGCAGCGAAACGAAGAGGCGTCAGAAACTTTCCTCCTCCATCATTTCCTTGTAACGGAAACCGCGGTCCTGTCAGCGGTGCAGCGCCGCACAGTCACCTAAATGAGATCCACGTGTGTCAGACAGTGTGTCCTGCAGTGTGTGTGTGTGTGGGGGGACAGAGACACGGCTGGTGGGGGGGTTTACGCGGCCTCCGGGCTGTTCCGTGCGGTCGTTTGAATCAGTCCGCGTTTCCAAAGATGAGAGGAAGGAATCCAGCGGTCACCGCAGGAGCTGGTTCTTTACGCACTGCATAAACGCTGCACAGGAAACCTTTACCACAGGAGGCATGAAGGCATTAGGGCGGGGGCAGTTCATTAGGGCTTTTACATTTACACGCCGCTGTGTGTCAGACAAACATGGCCGGATTAACCTGTGAAGGGGCAAACATTTGTTGTGAAGCCCCCTGAACCTGTAGCCCTGCTTCCTCCAAGTTCCCATTAAGTCCCGTCAAACAGACCTCCTGAGCTGAAACAGTGCTAAATGTCTTAGTTTGTGGTAATTTGATTAAATATATTTTTATTTAGGAATATGCTCATATTAGGGAAATATGAGCTAAAATAATAAAACTAGATTTTCACTGAGGGAACCTCAACAAGACATGACCAGATAACTATAGCTAATAGGTCTAATGCAGGACCCACCTTAGTTTATATTGTACTTTGGCGTTGCACTTAACACATTTGTAACTAATCAAGTGGATAAAAACAGGGGAGATTAGATTTTTTTGGCTTGCAGGATCTGGGCAGTTTGCCACTTTGCCTGGTTTGTTGTCCAGCCGTGGACAGGAAGTGTTGGAAACCACAACACAATATTGGGCGTGTTTGTGTTTTGCTTCAGCATCACTCAGCCGCTGTCATTTTCCAGTGTAAGATCATTTATAGAGCTGTGTTAGTAGTCTTTTGACCACGTGGGGGCAGAATTGCTCCAACACAAGCTGACAAACCAGCAGTGCTGAGGTATTAGTGCCTTATAAAGTCATTAAACCTCCAAATAACTGATTTTATTAAGCATGTAGGTGCTGTAGAAACAAGTTGTGAAAATAACACTAACATCACCTTGTAAGTTGATATTGAGAACTTCAACTTCCAATTGGACAAAGCAGACAACTGCCCCTGGTCACAGGGTTAGGAACCCCAGGGACCCAAAAAGCCCCAGGTTTACTTTGAATAAAATGGCTGAACTGTGTATGAATTTGAACCATTAAAGAGTAGTATCAGCTAACATCTGCTCTTCTTCACAGAATAATGTGGCTCTGGCTTTGTAGAGGCTGTCTCTTTGAAGACCATTATTATTTGAATTTGCATTGTGCTCAAGTGTAGCCTATATATTTCTAAATAAAATGAACGTGGACTTACCAATGCTGATTAATGGTTGAAAGAGCTTTAAAAAAAAAACACTTTATAGCCTATCTTTCAAAAGTCTTTATTGGCTTGAGAAAGACAAGACAAATATAGTAACTCTGATAATGCACAGAAGTCAGCAGAAGGATTTTACAGTTTTGATACATTAATTCAGAAAATAATCAACAGCATCTTTTATATGACAAAAGCAGAATCACAGGTGATTCAAATGCAGCCCCACCACCCAGTAAACAGGACTACTATCGCTCCAATAATCAAACATGGCTGAACACTAAACTACAACTGATTTTAAGTTTAGAAACACAGATGATGCTGAATATAGACTTAAATTACAGAAGTGAATAAGTATTACCAAATCTTTAAAACTGGAAACCGAATGGTGTGACACTCATTTTACTTAAGACTTATGTGACTATCGGGTTCATTGCATTTGAAAAAGTAATCAACAGATCTGATTTCACACTTGGTCAAAGACAAGCCATGGAGCGTGCCACCTCAGTATGCTGAATGCATTCCTCATTATGGAGATGGTTTGTACTGGTGGCACCTGTCTCCAGTCAGGTGATGGTCGCAGGTGAGAGTGTAGTGGACCTCGACATTCCCTTTCGAGGCATGGCAGGTGAATCTGTGTGTCCCCTGCTTTATGGACCTTGTGCATGAAACCAGACGGTCGTCTCTGCCCCAGTCTTCATCCCAGACTTCAACCTTCAGACCCAAGTGTGTGTCCACCTTCATAAACAAATCAGTAAAAGTTGAACTAAAATAATGTCAAAACATACTATATATCCCACAGTCAGTTTAGTCAACTTTATATTTATGCATTTTTGCAAAGTGCTTGTTGCCATTTTGAAATGCTAACCGTTCTGATATGTCTGCTACTTGCCGATTTTGATGCACAATGGGACACATTTAAATGTGTGTTTCAAAAGCAACAACTTAACCACATGAACTCATATAAAATCCAGCACAGTCACAGCCTGCAGAGGGAGTAGTTACTGATACAATATTAAGCGAGGCTCGTTGGCTTTAAGCAGCACTAGTTGATCTGTTACTTTCTTTCTCCATTATAACTAAAGATTTACCTACTGTCTTATTTACGCGGTATAACAATTCAAATTACTAAGATGTTGGGGCATCAAAATGTATTTTCAATTTCCACGAACAGGAAAAAGAGGGTAAATTAACTTTATCTAAGGCTATCTCACAGCTAGCCTTAACTAGCCAGCATGCATAGTCAATGCATGTGGGTTCTTGTTTTCTGGTGAATTGTTTTATCCTATTTACTGTCAGCGTAGAAATCTGGAAGCTGCTGTGTGAGAAGAAGATTAACACTGACCTCGCCCAGATCATAATGTGTGTACCAATGAGGGCTGTTTGATCTCATCACACTGGTTGTTTGCTGCATGGAGCCGGCCCACATCTTAGCATATCTATGAAAGGAAAAGAAAATACCTGTATCAATATTTGTGTTTGATGCATCACATTCACTGTGCCATCTCTCTGTATCTTGACTTGTTCTCTACGCACCCCTCAGTCACGCCCCAGTAATCTCCTTTCAGTCCCCAGGCTCGGACATTGGTCACCACCAGTCTTCCCCTAAAGGCCTCTTTAGGACAGCAGCTGGAATCCAGGTTAGGGCCACGCGAGCCACAGTACGGTTGTGTTGTTGAGCTCTTGATGCCGTGGTCTTTCAAGTACTGCTCTATGGCGACCGTCAGTCCTTGCTTTTTTGTCGTGTTTGGCACCAGCTCGTACAGTGGTCTCAGGGAGTACCGAACAACATCAGGGTGATCCTTGAGGGTTTTCAGCCAATTTCGGTAGCCCACGGAGTCGTTCCTGGTGAGTGCAAACTCCCCGACCCAACCTTTGCCTCCTACCACCTCTGTGTAATGCTGGTGGAGTCCAGAGCTGAACAAGGAGGAGATGCCCTGGTTCTGTAGGACTTTGCTGCAGAACTCTACCTTAGGGGACACTTTGATCTTCCCCAGGCCTACACTGATACCCCCTGACAAGCAGTTGTGCACCTAGATGACAGGAGGGGATTTTAGATGTTGTTTTTGGTACAGAGTGTGTTTACTGGTTTCACTAGACATGTGTGCTACATATACCTCGTCAGAGGAGAGGCCATTCAGTCTGGACAAACAGGTACGTGCAGCTGTGACTCGCCTGATTCGGCCCCCAAGATGAACCTAAAATTACACACAAGAAAATGTTATTGAGACAAAGATATATGGTGTCGTATATTCCTGTGAAGTCATTAGTCAAGCAGTCAAGACATTAAAATTGAGGTGTGTGTGTGTATGTGTGTTTTAACCTGGCGGATATAATGTGTGCCGTAGGTCTCTATGATCCGTCTGTACTGGGTCTTAGTTGAGTCGCTGTAGGAACTGGGTAGGTTTGCCAAATCCCTACTGAGTTCATAGCTGAGGGGTGGTCTGTCTGACACACGGTAACTAAATGCAAAAAGACAGCACAATAAATTACCTGCGTGTACAAACCTAGAGGGTAAATCAGACATTCTGTGGTCATGTAGGTGGAGGTCTTCACACCCTACCTGTAATGGCTACAGCTGACTCTGTGAGTGCTGAAGGTGTAATGGTCCTCTTTGCTCCTGTCTGTAGCAAAGACATATGCAGTTGAACGTGTTCCCCCCACCTCCAGGCCGGCAAACTTCTGGAAATCTAGTCCCAACTGATAAAAAAGGAGGACATGACATCTAATTTTGTTTTTATTGCTCAAAGCATTACAAAATGGCATTTTAAAAACTGCTCAGGAACATGTTTTTTCAGAAACAATGTCCTGGTTATTTAGGATAATTCCCAGACCTCGCTATTAGCACAGCTGCTTAGTGTGGATGTAGACTGTCTTGTTTAGATTTAGGTTTTCAGTTTCGCCTTATTTTACACCCAGTAGAAGTTTTGTTAACTGATGTCTTGAGTCTTCAGCAGACAAAACTATCTGTAATAAAAAATCTGTAATGTTCTGTAAATAAATAATCAATTAAAGAATCATATACATTTATACTGTGTATGTATAGATATACATGTGTATATATATGAAAGTGAAAGTTTCATACTTTCAAGCTGTTGCTGTCCTCGTTTGTGTGTTTGTGAAGTAGTGAGCTGTGGACATAGTCACAGAAAACACCATTAAAGATTTTTTTTGATTTCCTGAAAGCATTATTTTGCATTTTTACCTACAAAATTTACAAAAGACACTTTATCCACATCAACAAATTATAAATCATAGTTATTAAGATCAGAAAGTTTCCGCTAAAGCTCAGAATGACACAGAAAACCTTTGAACGCGTGATGTAAAGTCAGAACCTAGAATATAAACAATGAATGGGGAGCTGGCTTTGTGGAGCCATAAGAGAGTGACAACAACATAAAGGTCATCTGCTAATATTATACATCAGAAGTTGACAGTGGTGGAAGACGTACTCAGATCTTTTACTTAAGTAACAGTTGCCATGGCACAGTGCAGAAGTACTCTATTACAAGTAGGTTAAGAGTCATGCACACATTTAACTTAAGTAAAAGGAGAAAAGTATTAGCATCAAAACACACTTAAAGCGACAGAAGTACTTATTATGCAGAACAGCTCATTATAGCCCAATTATTGACGTAAATCACTTTAATGTTGCATGTGGGCAGGGTGGGAAAGGGGGACAAATTCTAAATACGTTACAATACTTTTTTACTTAGTTGCCCACTCCCGGAAATATTGACAGATCTGTGCTGGGTTCTGGAAAAAAAAAACTAAAATATAAAATTGCTCACAATACTATGAGTATTTATGATATCACACAATACCTGACGGAGCTGTGCATGCTGCTGTACAGATGAACACTGCAGCGGCTGAATGCGCGCCAGTCTACTGCAGAGAGCGGCAGCTGGAAATAAGAGTGAGACCACCAGGGTGAACATGTTAACAATAAGTGTGTGCGTGTGTGCGTGTGTGTGAGATGCTGTGAGTCGTGTGCTGTTGTGTCGTGTAGTGTGTACGTGTGTGACATACTAACAGCACTCGACGGCAGATAACTCTTGTTAGCGAGCTGCTGTGAGTGTTGGCGGCAACCACAAGTGTCGCTGGTGTGTCAATGTCGCTCTTCTGTTAAAGTTCCGTCCTGATATTACAAATTTACTTTCATGCAGCACTCTAGCTGGCAAGAGACACGGTAGCGTCGGAGGATACAAGGTGACCATTGGCGGCGGCCGTAACGTCTTCAGGAGTCGATCGTTGTAAGCTCCACTTTCCTTCGCAGACGGTAGCACCATATCAAGAGCCTCCTCTCCCCATCTCGCAGGGTTGCTTTAGCCTGGCACCGGAAGGCGGAGCGGTCAGCGTGCACTCCGGCACGTAGACTCACAGGATAGAGAACAGGGAGTTTGCCGCTGGCGATCTCAGAAAAGAGGTAGGACTCTCAGTTAGAGATGGGATTGGAGTTGAGAGCGCAGAGCTGAGTTGCGCTACTGGGGTCAAGAGAACCTTGCTAAAAATGCTTCATAGCACTCAAGAGCAAAGAACAACAGGAAAGAGTCAGTGGCACCTAAATCCATTTCGTGATAATGTATTATTCAAGTAAAGGCTTAATATCAGAGAGACTGTACACTCGCGTTTTCTTCACCCGTAGATTAAAGATAATGCTACGATCGATTCTCTTTTTTTGACATTATTCCAATCTACCGTCAACTCTGTCTTGGCAATAAGAAATGCACTCAGTTACTGAAGTTTTCAGAGTTTCTGTAACCTCTCAGTGTGCTCATGCACTGATTTGGTGGGTGCTTCTGGAAATCTGACCCCTGTACCTAAGAGATCTCACCCTCATCATCACAATAGCAGTTTGTTGGCATTATGTACAACAATGTTCTCAAGCATAATAGCTAGGCACATCGGAATTGTTCAGTGGCCCTAGCAAGTTTGTGACTTTGAATTTAAGCATGTTAATGAACATGAGTATCTAAGACACGAATAAAACATAATATACAAGTAGTAACACTGAAAACTAATAATACGGTACTCTGTGGTTAAGTTCAATTTGGTCTACAAAAGAGTGGGAAGCGCGCACTATTAGTATGCTTTATAGAGTACATTAGGTGTTGATGCTATCGACCACACGGCATATTTGCTAAGCAGCTGTGCGAGATATACCATGGTTAACTCAATTATATCAAAAAAAACACATATAACATATTTTTTAGAAAAAAAAAACCCCTTGATCATAACCATTGCTGTGCAGTCCGTCCTAGCCACACTCATTCCTTTCAGTGAACACACAAAATATACCGCCTCAATAAATGGGTTCACGTCGCTCTACAGTGTTAAGAAAATAAATTATTTTCACTATATGATGACAATTACTAAAGAAAACTATTCTTCAACAGGAATTTAGAATGACATAAATAAAAATGCAAAGACTTTGCCCACGCCCTAACCACACACTTTTTGATAATCAATTGGATTCTGAGACCCTAACATATTAATTGCACACTGATGCTACATAACTTTAACGTATGACAAGTAACATTACCTGATTACATCTCCGTGCACAGAGATGTAATCTGCACGCAGACTGTAAATAAAGGGAGTGTAGCATGCAGCAGATGAGGCGTAATATCCACGAGTACTTGTGTCAGCACGAGGAATGTGGCGACACTGTCCAGTCTGCAATGGTACAGCCTTACTTACTATCTGTTGCGGTCACCACGAAGGAGTCGGTGCAACATGGGATAGTTTCTTGAAATTCTGCACATGTCATGATACACAGAACAAACTTCACTTTACGAACTACACTGATTGAGAATTGGCAGAACTAATACCATACCTTCATACGCCAAGTTCAATTTGTAATGAAGCAGCATTGCAATATACAACATATTTTCTTCCATTGCCAAGCATACTTTGCAAATATTAGAACATATTTAAATCTCTACCCGCTCAAGCCATGAAGATCTTGTGATTTAAAGCTAGTTGACATCGCACTTACATCTGCAACTTAGAATTCTTGAATAGATCACATTCGTACATAAAGAAAATTAAAAATTAAAAATACTACCAGTATAAAATATTTTGTTCTCTAATTCCACAATTTAGGATTTCTATAGATACTACAAAAAAACTTTTATTGATGTTCCATTAATGTGGAACACAGCAAATAAGCTGTTCCTGGTTACACTGTCACAAGTAATAGCCCTATCAACGCGTGGGGGTGCCTAGATGTATACAGGTTGCCCTTGCCGGGACATAATATTAAAATCAGGAAGATCACCAACAATATGACTGATTTAGTGTAACAAATGAAAGTGCTGGGCCTGTGTGATTGGAAATAAATGGAAAGTTGTTGAACCTGTGTTAGATTGGAATAAATAAGCAAGTGAAAGCATTGTAGTCTATAATCATAGCCTTCCTGAAAAACTGTGACAGTGTGTACCTGGTGTGCACTTGTTGAATGGATGGGCCACTTTAATGACAAACCCTAATTGTCTAGAAGTGGTTTTCAAGAAGCCCTTGAGTTAGACAATAGAAATGTTTCTTGTCACAGCAGCAGCAGAAGGAAGTCAAGGAGTTTACAATATTGTCAGGATGATGTTAAAAACAATAAAATAAAACCTGAGGCTGTGATGATGTTGCTAATGATCAGTCTCCTGTATTAATCAATGAGAAATTTTGATGGTCCTAAAAGCCGTCCAAAGAAACTGACTGTCCCAACTACAAATGTGTTCCAGAAAAAAAGTATTAAACTGCGAATAATTCAGTTAAATAAGTTCATGATAAAAACACATTCACTTAAAATCATGACAACACCAGTGATCTTTGTGTTTTATGTAATCTTTCCTATTTACTGTTCCAACATCCTGCTTTACATATCATATAATTTTCTCATTATAGTTAGTAATGATGAACATCCAAACATTACACGCGACG